GGTCCAGTCGCCTCACGTCCGTGGAGCTTCCGTGGTCCGCCGCTCCGGCTTCGATTTTCGACCCTCCCGAGGCTGCTAGAGCAGCCCCGCGGAGCCTCCCGGATGCATCGGCACACCGTCGTCCAGGATGACGGCGCACGCGCTGCCCAGTGACTGGGCGGGTCTGCCCCGACTAGGGGCGGGCCCAGCCGCGCGGAGAAGGCCAGCGAGCTCGAAACACGTCGCCGCGGCCGGCCGTTTCGCAAGCCTGAGCGGGTCGCCAGACACCCGCGAGAGCCAGCAGCTAGAGCGCCGTCGTAGCCGCAGATCGAGTCGAGGAGCTTGATGTCCACGGTAGCAGTTGTGGAGAGCGGTGGCACGGTGCGTGTAGACGCGTCGATTGAGGGCTCCCTTTTGAAACGCGACGGGTACGGCATGACAACTGCCAGCACAGTTTTACGCCGGCCAGCGTGAGAGCACAACAGGGAGCCGGCGACCCGTACGCTTTGCGCGTGGCGACTGGTGGCTGTCTGGAGCTCGTGTGAGCTGGGCCGACGCGTGGCCGAGCCGAGAGGACCAGCGAGCGACCACCTTGGCGATGAAGCTTGGCGGCCGGCGCCTCGTCGCCAGACGTCACAGCGGCGTGGATGTAGGAGTGTGCGGCGACGGTTACCGGCAAATCCGGCCCAGTGTGGCCGGCAGCTGCCTAGCGCTGGCCTGTGGCCGGCGCCGCGGTGGCGGAGAAGGCGTCTCGCCGCCGTGGCGGCGGTCGGCAGGTGCGAGCGTGATGCCATCTTGCGAGACGACACCCGTCTCGCAAAACCCGGACTGCCACCTTAAGAATTCTCATCTCCTCATCATCCTTCCCGGGATGCCCAGCCGCTGCGTGACTGTCGCCGAGGACCATCGTGACTGGTGCTTACATCAACCCGTGCATGATTGACAGCACGCGTGCGTTTGCATGGCCTTTTGCGGCGAGCCGGCGAGAACACTCGAGAAGAGTTGGGGAGCACTTCCACCACTTGGAGTGCAAGTAATTTGCAGTTTTTGCCACTTCGTTAGCTCTCCAGGGGTCTCTAATCTTGAAATCCGAGACCCAAATATCAGACCTCCCGGCAAATTTAACGGTTTGCTTGCCACTGCGTTGCGGGTGCTCCGCGCCTAATTTTCCTTAGTGTCATTCAGGCGTCAGTGTCATTCGCGTCAACACAGGTATGGTAAATTTCCGGAAATTTCTCCTTCCGAACAAGGCTGTCATATTTCTCAAAATATTTCGGGAAATCTACATTTGCCCCAAATCGTCCCTTAGCTCCGACAGCAAGGTACAGACCCGCACTGGGACTCGATCGAATACGAAGCATCGAAGACGGTCAGCTACCTAGCTTATTCCTATAATGGTGTGGAGAATCATGAATGTATCTGTATGTGCGGGGCAGGAACGAAGACTCCTCGTCTTTCAACTTCTCCTTTACATCGTGAATCCCCTTGTGGGCGCGAGTTTCTTTCTCTGGTTGGCTGAAAACGGTCGCAGGAATTCCCCTCTCGTATAGGAGAGGTTGCACCCAGTCTGCTGTGAGAGGGCTTGCAATTCTTTTTCGGGATGGTTTTTCTTTTTGACGGCGGCCTCCCCCCCGCCGAGATCCTCGCGCCCTCGCTGTACCTCGAGTGGGGTTTACAGGACGATGGCTGTTGACACCGGCGACTGCGTCGTCTTCCTTCGCGCCGTACACGACTCGATCCACAAAGCGGCCAAGCTGCGCCCCTTCTTCTCGCAGTTCGGCGAGGTCACGGGCGTCCGCCTGCAAAAGAACGGTTCGGCAAACTGCGCGGCAGTATATCCACAAAGTCGCCGCGCCCTCACCCAGCCGTGCCTCCTCCAGGCAACGCCGTCGTCTGCTTTTCGACGGCGTCCGCCGCACAGCTCGTCCTCAGCCTGTACGCGTCGACGCCCGAGCGCCTGCTTCTCGACGGCAGGCGCGTCAGGATTGAGAAGAACCGCAGCTTTTCACGACCGCAGAGCTTTTTCCGACGAGGGGCAAACGCGTACGTGGCGGCGAAGCTCGCCGAGAAGGACGTGGGCGCGGGCGAGAAGCTGCGGCGCGACTGCAAGTCCATCCTCAACAAGCTCGCCCCTTTTAGAAGCTGAACGTATTTCGTGCACACATTCCAACACTAGCGCTCGAGAGACTAGTATTCCGCTGTATCGCCTCGCCCTCGCCTAAAGTGTGCGGAGCGTGCGCCCCGCGCCCGCCCCGATGCATATTTACACCAATAGGCTCGCCCCCCAGAAGCTCGACGAGCTCGCAGGCCAGTTCCTCGAGCTGCCCGTCGGGTCGCCCGCCGACATGGAAGTCATCGTCGGCCACGTCTTCGACACGGCGCACGCCCTGCCGGCCGCTCGGCACGTTGTACTAATGAATGTCCAACACACCTGATAGATACTTATGAGTACACCAGGCGGTCGCCGAGCCGGCGCTCGGCACAATGTGCTCGACGCTCTGCGCCCCGCTGACTTCGTTAGTTGACTATCAACTGTTCATCATTATTTATGAGGTGCGCGACGCTCTCCGTGCGCTGCTCCGAGTCCTTCCCCGAGTTCCACGACGCCAACGGACAGCCCGTCACATTCAAGCGCCGTCTGCTCAGCAAGTGCCACGACGAGGCGGGCGGGTTCACATCTGCTGTGAACGGCGTCTCTTCACATCTCGAACTGTGAACAGGTGCCAGGAGGAGTTTGAGAAGGAGAATGTG